TGTGTGTGTGTGTGTGTGTGTGTGTGTGTGTGTGTGTGTGTGTGTGTGTGTGTGTGTGTGTGTGGTTGCGTGTCTATCTCTGTGGGTCCATCCAAGAGAACGCACCAATGACCACCATGCCCCAACCTGAAACCAGACTTGTCTTCAACTTCACTTTCAACATGCATGCAGATAGATGCTGATGGCTGACGAACTCTCACAAGGAAGAACCAGCAACAAGCGTGAGATGGCGCATAGCGCACACACAGAAAACTCGGAGATATGGCCTGTGGCCAGGAACTCAGCTTAAGGCAACTTGTTACATCTAGCGGCTATGGCCGCTAAACACTGTCTGAATTCCCACCCGTACACTGTATCCAACATCAGACACCTCGCACTCACGCACGCACACACACACACACACACACACACACACACTAGGATCTACCCTGAATGTCCACACACACACACATACACACTCACTATTTATATCGTCATCCTCCACCTCTACTAGCGGCTATGGCCGCTGCCCTCTTCTTCTTCGGAACCTGCAGACCTCCAACGCACAAGTCGCACAAGCATCGCTTCCGCATGGCTCGCAGGCGAATGAATGAATGGTTGGGCGCTGCCTCTTTATTTATACCGTTTCGTTGTGGTCTGGCCTGCCTTCAGTCCCGGGCTCAAGGAAGGTGCAGCCCCACCTAGTACTCGCCGACTAGACAAGGTGGACTTGGAACTGCAACTGGGACTGGACTACCTTCGCTGACTCATTGACGAACAACTGACTATTACGATCTTGAAAGGTCAAATTGACGAGTCTAGAATCTCCTAGGCTACGACTACAGCTCCGAAGAGACAACTCTGAAGGTTCTAGAAAGTCCTAGGCGACTTCGGACTGACTCTTCGCTACAGCTAGGGCTACGCCTTAAGACTGACCCTAAGACTTCTGAAAACTAAGCATGCGGTTCAAGTCCTCATGATCTAGCTATATGTACGACATTTAGACGCACATGTTAAGGGACAGGTCACGGGTCCAAGGCACATAGGGTCAACGGGTTGCTGTACAAGGTTTGGGGATAGGTCTAGGGATCAAGCCCTGGGTCCTGCAATTACCCTACGAACTGGGTGAGACTGTTTCAAACCCAACTCTACGACCGTGCGATCATCACCAACCCCACGAAAACACATATTATCAAGACAAGTGAACCTACCGCGGCGAAGCCGCGGCCCACGCCCAGCCCACCCCAGGCACGGCCATTATCTGGCCCGGGCGAAATTGAGGGTGTTTGTTTTACATGAGTGACGTGCAGCATTCGGGGGGCATCGCTCAAGGCATCAGCACACCGTCGGATCCTTGGTAATCAGAACTATTTTATTGTGGTCGCCGCTGGATTCGAACTCACGTCTGGAATTCAACAGTTTCATGTATGCATCAACTGAGCAGCCTGCCAATGTGGAAAATGCGAAGGAATCCTCCGAAAGAACATAGGAAGATACATTGCGACTGACAGATAAATTGAAAAGAAATCTCGGGGTGAGTAGCTGTGAGATGCAAATGTCGTTGAGAGAGAGAGAGAGAGAGAGAGAGAGAGAGAGAGAGAGAGAGAGAGAGAGAGAGAGAGAGAGTTTTCCATCTGTAGGATGCGCAAAATGGGAATGAACCGGTCACTAGAACATGGAAATATATACACTGCCACATTTCCGGTCTCTAAAAGTGTATATTTCCATGTTGTGGCAGTGGATACTACCATGTTCTAAGGGAAGATCCAATCCCATTTTGCTCATTTGGTGAAGCGTGGCATTGTCGGTGTCTGTGTCCATGTGTGTAGGATGAGCAAAATCGGAATCAATCTTCAGCCAGAACATGAAAATATACACTGCCACACTTTTTTTTTTTTTTTACTTTCCTTTTTTTTTTTTTTTTTTTTTTGAGAGAGAGAGAGAGAGAGAGTTTTCCATCGATAGGATGAGCAACACACCGACCAACAGGTAAGTCTGCAACCCCACGGCTGGCCTCAGGCTACTTCCATCGATAGGATGAGCAACGCAACGGCCAACAGGTAAGTCCCCAACGCAACGGCCAACAGGTAAGTCCCCAACGCCACGGCTGGCCTCAGGCTACTTCCATCGATAGAATGAGCAAAATCGAATGAATCTTCCGCTAGAACATGAAAATATTCACTACTACACGTGTGTGTGTGTGTGTGTGTGTGTGTGTGTGTGTGTGTGTGTGTGTGTGTGTGAGAGAGAGAGAGAGAGAGAGAGATAGAGTTTTCCATTTGTAGGATGTGCCACAAGCGGTTATCGGGTAGCTGAAAATTCAGGAATGAAAATTCTGAAGTGAGAGTTTTGGGCAGTCTGAAAATCCTGAATGGTCCTGAAGTGGTGAAAGGTTCGAAGACCCTGAAAACCACCTGTTTAGGCAGGCTGCATCCTGAAGTGGTGAAAGGTGTCCTGAAGTGGTCAGGTGAGAGTTTTAGGCAGTTTGAAAATCCTGAATGGTTCTGAAGTGGTGAAAGGTCCGAAGACCATGAAAACCACCCTTCACCACTTGAGGATGCAGCCTGCCTAAACAGGTGGTTTTCAGGGTCTTCGGAGCTTTCACCACTTCGGGACCATTCAGGATTTTCAGACCTGAATGGTCCTGAAGTGGTGAAAGGTCCGAAGACCCTGAAAACCACATGTTTAGGCAAGCTGCATCCTGAAGTGGTCAAAGGTGTCCTGAAGTGGTGATGAAAAATACAACTGTTGTATACCTTCTTTCGGATGCCACATTTCCGGTCTCTAAAAGTGTGTATTTCCATGTTATGGCAGTGGATACTTCCATGTTCTAGGAGAAGATTCAATCCCATTTTGCTCATTTGGTGAAGCGTGGCATTGTCGGTGTCTGTATCCGTATATGTGGGATGAGCAAAATCGGAATGAATCTTCAGCCAGAACATGGAAATATACCTAGGTTACCTGATCGGACGTTCGGGACCCCCCTGACCGTCCGGGGTTATCCGCTCGGACAATCGGTCGGACATCCTCCCCTGACAGACTGTCCGAGCCTGAAAAAAAAAAAAAAAAAAAAAAAAAAAAAAAAAAAGTCCTCCAAAAAATCTATAAAAAAAAAAACTGTTATGAAAAAACATAAACTGAACAACTTTTGCCTTGGGATGATATTGAAATTCGTTGTCAATTTTAAAATAAAAAATAAAATTAAAGGCACCCCTATTTTATTTTTATTTTTTGGGTGCATTTATTTGCTAAAAATGGAGTTGTCCGGGCCCGGACGTCCGGGACCCCCCTGACTGTCCGCCCAGGACGTCCTGCCATCGGACAACTGGTAACATAGAAATATACACTGCCACACGTTTTTTTTTTTTTTTTTACTTTCCTTTTTTTTCTTTTTTCTTTTTTCTTTTGAGAGAGAGAGAGAGAGAGAGAGAGAGAGAGATGAGCAACACACCGACTGGCCTCAGGCTACTTCCATCGATAGGATGAGCAACGAAACGGCCAACAGGTAAGTCTCCAACCCCACGGCTGGCCTCAGGCTACTTCCATCGATAGAATGAGCAAAATCGAATAAATCTTCCGCTAGAACATGGAAATATACACTACTACACGTGTGTGTGTGTGTGTGTGTGTGTGAGAGAGAGAGAGAGAGAGAGACAGAGAGAGAGTATTCCAGCCATGCACGCAGAGAGATAGAGAGAGACTTCCATCGACAGGATGAGCAAAATCGGAATGAATCTTCTAGTAGAATATGGAAATATACATTGCTTTCCAGCCATGCGCGCAGAGAGATAGAGAGAGGCTACTTCCATCGATAGGATGAGCAAAATTGGAATGAATCTTCCGCTAGAGCATGGAAATATACACTGCCACTTTTTTTTTTTTTTTTTTTTTTTTTTTGTGTGTGTGTGAGACAAAGAAAGGGAGGGACACAAAGAGAGGGAGAGAGAACAGGTAAGTCTCCAACCTCGCGGCTGGCCTCACGCTACTTCCAATCGAATGAATATTCCACTAGAATATAGAAATATACACTCGATTGGTTGATTGATTGATTGATTGACTGGAAAACAAAAACAAAAACGGAAAACGGACTGATTTTTTTTTTTTTTTTTTGGATCGATCAATCGATCAATCAATCAATCAACACTCCCCCACCCCACCCCTTTCCTCCCTTCCATCCTCCCGCTTTCCCAACCCACCTAACCCCCTCGTCGTTTCCCCTCCCGCTCCTCCTGCTCCTCCCGCTCCTCCTCCTTCTCGCGCTCCTCACTCCTCTATACCTTCGTGCGTCACAATCTCCCTCACCGATCGTGCACTTTGCTCACGGTCGTTGCGCTGCTGTTGGCTCCTTCTCCCGCTCCCCCTCCTGCTTTCTCCTCCCCGTTTCCCATCCCACTCCTTCTCCAGCTCCTCCTCCCGCTCCTCCTCCCGCACCTCCGCCTCCTCCCGCACCTCCTCCTCCTCCCGCTCCTTCTCCCACTCCTTCTCCCGCTCCCCCTCCCACTCTTCCCGAGCCTCCTCCCACACCTCCTCCCGCACCTCCTCCCGTGCCTCCTCCACCCCTTCCCATTTCCCCTCCCGCTCCTCCCGCTCCTAACCTCCTCCCGATTTCCCCTCCTGCTCCTCCTCCCGCTCCTCCTCCCGCTCCTCCTCCTGCTCCTTCTCCCACTCCTCCTCCACCCCTTCCTGTTTCCACTCCCCCTCCTCCTCCTCCCGCTCCTCCCACTCCTCCTCCCGCTCCTCCCGCTCCTCCCGCTCCTCCCACTCCTCCGCAAAACGACATGTCCAAGATCCCGCCATAGTTTCTCCTAAGGAAAAAACAAAGAAGAAAGGCCCGCAACGTGGCTAGCCACAGAGAGAGAGAGACTGACCTCCCGCTGCTCCTCCACCACTTCCTCCTCGTCCCACTCCTCCCGCTCCTCCCACTCCTCCCACTCCCGCTCCTTCTCCCGTTCCTCCTCCCGCTCCTTCTCCCGCTTCTCCTCCTTCTCCCGCTCCTCCTCCCGCTCCTGCTCCTTCTCCCGTTCCTCCTCCAGCTTCCGCTACTTCTCCCGTCCCTCCTCCCGCTCCTTCCGTGGATGCGCTCGCTCGGCTTTTCCGCTTGGCGCTCGCATGACCTTCGCGCAGTGCTTGCATGAGTGATTTATTTTGCATGCCCTAGCTCGGCTTTTCCCGCGCCCAGCCCCACAGCGCGGCACTTTCTCTTTGGGCCCCTGCTTCCCTCTGCACGCCGCCCCGGCTCGGCACACACGACAGCGGGCCCCGACCACGATTCTGCGAATCGACACGGGACTCCCCTCCGGTTGCGCCCGTCTTGCGCTTTCTGGTGGGTGCGATTCAACACGGGACTCACCTCCGGTTCCGCCCATCCCGTGGTTTCTCGTGGGCCCGCGGCAGTGTGTGTCGCTGGGACCTTCGTAACTTTTGAGAGTATAGAGAAGACAAGAAGAAGAAAAAAAGGTTCACCTTTCCATGTTCTGGCAGAGGATTCAGCCTCCTCTCTACTTTCACAGAGCAGTGCAGTCCAGTGCTGCTCACACAGAGAAAATCACAGGACAGGGAGCCTCGCTGCATAGCTCTGTGAAAGTAGAGAGGATGGTGACTCCTCCGCCAGAAACAAGGAAAGATAAAACTATTTTTATTTTTATTTTCCTGTAATATACGAACGTGGAAAGAAGTGGAGGAAGTGACGTCACTCCACTACTCTCGACATGTGCAAAACGAGAGTGAATCTTCTGCTAGAACATGGAAAAATACACCGCCATGGTATTGGTCCTTTCTGCATGTGGAGAGTAGAGCGAGGCTCTATGGCTCGCAGAAGGAGTCACACTCCATCGTCAATGTGCAGGGATGGAGGCTGCACACACGTCACGCTTGGCCACATGGCCACCCACAAATGACAGGCAGACAGACACGAGTGGCCAAGTGGCGGCGGCGCGAGGTGGACCGCATGTGTGGCGGATTGGAGGATCCAGTAGTTCCTGAGGGAAACGGAACGAACACGAATGAAAAAAGAAAATTAAAAAAAAAGAAAAAGAAAAAAAAGAAAATAAAAGTGTCGAACGCATGGTAACCGTCCGGACGTCCGGACTGGGTTCCAGACAGTCTGGTGTCCGGTGTCCGGTCCTGATGTCCGGATGGAGGCCCCTGGGGCAAAAAAAAAAAAAAAAGGGGGGGCCCAGGACGTTTATCGGGTCCTGGGGTGATTTTTCAGTGCAAGGAAGATGAGCAATAGCGAACTTCAGCAATCAAACAGCATCATATACACAAGACCAGATAGTCATGACCTCGAACCAACAGCAGAATTGCATCACGAGTTTCACCAAATAAGAAGACACCAAGAGCTCATAATTGACAATGCTGGTAAAGTCTCATCATCATCATCAATGAAGAACCAATGTTGATATCCTATCTGGCGCTTGGCGCCCAGACTACAGATGGCAGATCCTATCTAGCCTAGACTACAATGCCGAATGATGACGTTAACAGCTTTCCCGAAGTACGAGCATACAGCGACCAATGTCGCACGCTTCCAGCACCAGGTATGTCTCTCGCCTCACTCACAACCTCGTTCCCCAACACACAGATGCCACTTGCACCCAAGGACCACCCTGCGCCACACCCAGCTTACAGCAGCGCAGCTCAGCTATGGCTGCCTGCTCCTTCCGTGCTCGCCCGTGAGTGCGTGAGCGCTGGCCAGCAAATAGCGCAGCAGCGCTTGCGCCGCATGCAGCCAACACCCGAATGCCGAATGCAGAGGCAGGCCCTTGGCTATATCGAAGTGGCCTGCCTGCGTTCAGTCCCAGGAAGCTCCCAGTAGGCCCCGGTAGCCTGAGGCCCAGCACCAACAAGAACAGGCCTTGGGCCTGAGGTGGTTGTATGCACCCAACTGCCTTTGGCCTGTGTTTGGCCTAGTACCCGTATCCAGCCCAGGGCTTGCTTTCCATACATTCATACAGGCGGCCCAGGGCATGGCTTTTCTCAACCAACTGGCGCTACGCACTGCCTGAATTCCTTCGAGCTGCGTGGTGACCGAAATAGGGACCCTCAGGCCCTCGTCGTGCCTGCCTTCACTTAGGGCGGCCGACGTGATACTTGGCAGGGCCAAAATGGGGCTCATAGGGGCATAAGCCTCGCAT